CTGAGTGAGGAAAGAGATAGAGAGACGGATAGTGAGAGAGTAAAAATTGATAGATGGAGAGATAGTTGATAGCTTGAGAGAGAGTGTGTATTAGAGAGAGAAGCAAGATAGAGGGGGGAAAGAGAGTGATATAAATATAATCTCTATCTCCCTCTCTCTTCCTCTATCATGCACAATCTCTCTCTTTCACTCTCCTTCTCACTCTCTCAACATCTATCCCACTCTCTCTTTTTCTCTTTTTCCCTCTCCTTTCCTCCCTCCCTCCCTCTCTTCTCTATATTTCTCTCTCTCTATCTTACTCTGCCTCTCTCTTCCTTATTCTCTATTTTTGTCCTATTTCACCCTTTCTATAATTCTCTCAATCATTCTCCCTCTCTCTATCAATTTACCAAATTGTCACTCTCCTAATCTCTCTTTATGTATAGACGCTCTCTTCTTCTTTCGCTCCCTCCCTCTTTTCTATCTATCTTGATCTCTTTGTCTCTAGTCAGAGAGCAAGAGAAAAAGAGAGAGGATAAAAAGGAAGTTCTAGAGAGAGATAGAGATAATAAGAGAGGTGAGAGAAAGATTGCGATGGGGAGAGAGAGAGATATCAAGAGTGAGAGAGACTAAGAAATAGAGTTTGGGAGAGATGGAGTAAGAGGAAGGAAGTGGGAGTAAGAGAGGGAGGGATGGGGGGAGAGAGATCGATTGAACCCCCAATCTTTCTCTCACTCACTCTCTTTATTTGTCTATCTCTTTAATCTGAGAGAGTTAGAGAGAAGAGAAATAGAGAGACTGTGAAAGAGGGATAGGAAGGAGGGAGACTTAGAGAGAGAAAGGGAGAGAAAGGGAAGAGGGAAAGGGAGATAGAGAGATATAGAGCTATAAAGATATGAGAGAAAGAGAAAGAATGTGAGATAGTCAGGTAGAGAGAGTGAAAGAAGGAGAGAGTGAGAGAAATAGGGGGAGAGAAATATATCAAAAATTAGAGGGGGACAGAGTGAAAGGGAGAATGGGAAAAGAGAGATATACTTATAGAGCAAGGCAGAGATAGAGGGATAGAAATATAGATAGGAATGAAGGGACCTTATCTCTCTCTAAGGTGGAGAGAGAAGGAGAGAGGGGAGAGGGATAGAGACTGAGGGAACGAAGGTGAGGGAGAGGAAGAGAGAGGGAGAAGAAGAGAGATACGGAGAAAGTGGGAGAAAGAGAAATCAAGAGTGAGATAAAACAATAGAGAGAGAAATAAAGAAAAGGTGAGTGAGAGATAGAGAAAGAAAGAGGAGGCTAGAGAAAGGTATAATGTATGTGGGAGAGATGAATACAATAAGAGTGAGAGAGTGAGAGAAAAGTAATAACGATAGACAATGAGAGTAAGAGAAAATGAAAGAAAGATATATAAAAATAGAGATAGAGAGGCTAGGGAGAGAGAAAGAGGAAGGCAGTGGAGGGAGAGAGAGAAGAGTGAGAAGGGGAGCATGAGAAAGGGAGAGAGAATAAGAGAGAGATGGGGAGGGACAGAGCGTGAGCAAATGAGGGTGAGGAGAGAAGAGAGGGAAGAGAGATGGAGGGAGAGAGTCATAAAAGAAGCTAGAAAGAGTGAGAGTAAGAGAGTGTGTGTGTGAGTGATCGAGAGATGGAGGTGATAGAGAGAGATCTCTCACTAGCTCTCTATTTATATCTCTTTCTCTTTTTCTCATTTTCTGTAACTCTCGCGCTTCTCTCACTCTCACACTCTTTCTCTCTCCCACCTCTCTTGTATCTTATCTTTCTTTACCTCCATCTTTCTTGCTAGAGAGAGGTGGAGATATCAAAACAGAGAATGATAGAGATGGGAGAGAAAGAGAGGGAGAGGGAGAGGTAGAGAGTGTTGGAAGAGAGAGTGTGAGAGAGATTAATGGTACGAGAGAAAGAGCAATTGAGAGAGTAAGATAAATAGAGGGAGATAAGGTAGAGAGGGATGTAGAGGGAGGGATATGAGAGGGCAAAAAAGGGAGCAGAGCTCTATCACACCCACTTCTTCCCTCTTCTCCTCTCCTCCCTTTCTCTCTCTCTAAATATTCCTCTTTTTCTCTATATCCATCCCTTTATCTTGCTCTCACTCTCTTTGATTGAGAAACTGATAATCAGAGAGAGGATGAGAGAAAAAAATAAGAGAGAATGAGAGAGAGTGAGGGAGTGTCATAGAACGAGAGAGAGTGAGAAATGGATCAAAGCAGAAAAAAAGCTCTTTATTTTGTTATATGTCCCTCACTCTCTCCTCCCTCTTTCACATCTACTTATCCTCTCTAACCTTCTCTATATCTAAGAGAGTGAGATAAATAGAGGGAGAGAAGGGAGAGTGAAATAAAGATGGAGGGATATGGGCAGGAAAGAGGGAAGATTTGTATCACACCATCTTCTTCCCTCATCTCCTCTCCTCCCTTTCCCTATCTCTCAATATCCCTCACATCCTCTAAGTCCATCCCATTATCTTGCTCTCACTCTATTTGAGTGAGAAATAGATAATGAGAGAGAGAATGAGAGATAGACAATAAGAGAGAATGAGAGAGAGTTAGGGAGAGCATCATAGAATGAGAGAAAGTTAGAGGAGGATTAAAGCAGAGAAATAACTCTTTATTTCTCATAGAAGAAAGATATTGAGAGAGAAAGAGTAAGTGAGGGAGAGAATGGTGAGAGAGAGGGAGAGATAAAGAGTTAAGTAAGAGGAAAAAGAGATAGAGAGAGATAGATAGTGAGGAAGGGATAGATTGGTTGATATATTGAGGGAGTGAGTGTCACAGAAAGAGAAGCAAGATAGAGGGGGAAGATAGTGAATCATTATTTTCTCTATCTCCCTGACTCTTCCTCAATTTTGCGCTCTCTCTTATTTTCACTCCTACCTGTGTTCCACTGTCTTTTTCTCTCTCTTTATCCCTATCTTGCCCTATTTCTCCCTCTTTGCCCCTCCCACTCTTCTCTATCTTTTTATCTCTCTCTTCCTCTCCCTCTCTCTCTTTTTATCTCTTTCTGTACTCTCCCACCTTCACTCTAATTCTCTCGATTTCTCTCCCTCTCTCCATCCATTTATCAACTTGTCTCTCTCCCAATCCCTCTTTATGTAAAGATGCTCTCACCTTCTTTCTGCCCTCACTCTTTTCTCTCTCTCGATCTCTCTGTCGAAGAGGACCAAGAGGCTACTATAGCTAGGTTCATAATGGTTTTAAACCCTTAAATCTAAGATAAAGTTGAAAAGCAACATTATTTGGAGTTGGACATGTTACATTTGGCCATCAAGGTAGAGCAACAACTCAAGAGGAGGGGTGACCCACATTTGTCAAATAATGTGGGTTCTTCATGGAAGCCAATTTGTCAACAAAAGAGGACAAGCCAATTGCAAAGTCCAAACCTAAGCCAAGACAAGAGACAACCAGCTAAGGATCTGAAGATAAAACTAACCCTTCCACTTCTAGAAATCAATACATTAAATGTTTTAAATGTCAAGACACTGGTCATATATCAAGCCAATGTACTTATAAAAGAATCTTGGTGATAAGGGACAATGGAGTGATTGAGATTGATGAAGAATTAGAACTTGACTTTATACCACCAGTATAGACATTGAAGGTGAAGAATATGCAGTCACAGGAGAATTGTTAGTCACATGAAGGGGTTTAAGTGTGTAGGCCAAGGTTGATGAAAGAATTCAAAGAGAACATTTTTTCCAAACAAGGTAACATGTACAAAATAAGGTATGTAGTGTGATCATTAATTAAGGGAGTTTTATTAATGCTGCAAGAACTATTTTGGTTGAAAAACTTGGACTGTCAGCCTCATAAGAGAGAGAGAGAGTGGGAGAGAGCTTGTTTAAGAGATAGAATAGAGAGGGAGGGAAGGAGGGAGCATGCTAGAGAATGAGTGAGAGAGAGAGAGAGAGAGATTGAATGAGTAAAGATGTTCTTTAGAATAGGGAATAGAGAGAATGAGAGAGAGGAAGAGAGAAGAAAGAAAATATCTCTCTACATCTCTTTGTGGCTCTCCTCTCTCCTTAACAATTCTCTCTCTATGTCTCCCTCCTTCCCTTATTTTTATTCTCATTCACTTTGTCACTCTCTCCCTATTCCTCACTCATAATATCTCACTTCCTCTCCCTCGTTCTCTCCCTCTCTCCTTCTGTTACTCTCTCTACCTTATTATCACTCATTCTCTCTCACTATCTTATCTCTCACCGGCTTTACATCTCTCTCACTCTTTCTTTATATCTTCATCTCTCTCTCTCTCTCTCATACTCACTTCCTATCTCCTCCCACCCCTTTCTTTAGCTTCTTTTCTCATTCTCTCTCTTATCTTCTCCTTGGTTCTCTTGCTCTATCATTATATCCCTTTCTACCTCCCTCCATGTTCATCATGTTCATCTCTCTCTCCTCTCTCTCCTCTCCCTCCCCCTCTCTTTCATTTTCTCTTTCTCCCTCTCTCTCCCTCTCTCTCCCTCTCTAACATATTACCTATCTCTACATCCCTCTCTCGTACTATCAACCTATCCCTTTCTCTCTCTCCATTGCTCTATTCTCCCACTCTCTTTCTATCTCTCTTTATAACATTATCTCCCTCATACTCTCTATTCTTATCTCATTTTATCTCTCTTACTCTCTCTCTCATTCAATCACTCTTTCTCACTCCATCTCTCTATCTCTCCTCTCTCCTCCCTCTCTTTATATCTCTCTTTCTTTTCATCTCTCAGTAACTATCTTTCTCATTAGCTTTTGCTATTCCACCTTGTCTCTCTCAGTCTATGTTGCTCTCCCTTGTCTCTCAATCTCACTTCCTAGCTCTCTTTCATCATTTTTCCTTGCTCTCTCTCTTCTATCCCTATCTCTCCCTCTTCTTTCATACTCACTCCTTCTGTATCTCTCTTTCACCTCCATCCCTTTCTCTAGCCATATCACTCTCTTTTATCTCCCTCGTCTGCTTCTTGCATTCTCATACTCTGAATTTTTTCATTCCAACACTACCACCCTCCCTCTCTCCCTCATTAATTTCCTCATCTCACTTTCTCTCCCTCTCCTTTTCTCACTTTATCCCATCCCTTCCTCTCCCTACCTCTCACTTCTCTTCTTTTTCTCTCCATCTTTATGCTCTCACTCTCTACTTCTTCTCTCTCTCTCTCTCTCTCTCTCCCTCCCTCTCTCCCTCTCTTTGTCCGTTCTCCCTCCCTCTCACCCTACCTCGCTTAGAAGTGAAAGTGAGAGTGAGATAAAGAAAAAAGAAAAGAAAGAGAGAGAATGGATAGAGAGACAGAGAGTGGGAGGCATACTCTCTTTCTATAGTCCATTCTCTTTCATCTCCCTCTGTCATTATCTATTACTCTTTCTCCCACTTAAATTGCCCTCTTCCTATCTATCTCTTCCTTCACTTTCTCTCTTTTTCATACCTCCCTCTCAACCTCTACTATACCATTATCAATCAAAAGGGAGAAAAGGAGAGATGGAAAGAAAAAGAGAGAGAAAATAAGAGTTAAATATAAAGAGAATGAAGGAAGTTAGTAAAAGAGAGGAAGAGATAGAGGAAGGGAGGGAGATTGAGAAAAAGTAAAAGAGAGAGAGGAAGAAAGATAAATAAATAGAGCGAGAGAGTGAGAGAAAGAGATAGTGGGTGAGAGTTGGGAGAGTAAGTTTGGTAGAGAAAGGGAAAGAGAGGAAGAGTGGGAGGGGAAGAGAGATAGAGCAGAGAGAGGGGGAAGGGAATGAGAGAAGAAAAAAGAGTGAGATTGAAGAGAAAGACAAAAGAGAGAGAAGAGACAAAGCGAGAGAGTATGGAGAGAGTAAGATAAGAGAAAAGAGAAAAAGAGAGATGATGGAGGGGGAGAGAGAGAGATAGAGCTAAAGATGTTCCTCCCAATCCCTATATCATTTTCTCTCACTCCTCACTCCCTCTCCCTTTTTTTCTCTCTCTATGTGCCCCCATCTCCTTTATCTCTCCTCTCCCTCGCTATCAATTTCTCTTTATCACCTCCGCCTCTGTTACTTTGTCTTTTTTTTTCTCTCCCTCTCGAGAGAGAGTGAGGAAAAGAGCAAGAAAAAAAAATAAAAAAGAAATAGAAGAGTGATACAAAATTATAAGAAAGAGGGAGCTCGAGAGAAAGAAAGAGAGTACAAAAGATCTTTATTTATTGAGATTTCACTCTCTCTCTCTCCTCATCTTCTTACTTCCTTTCTCTCTCGCTCTTCATTTCTCTCCGTCCTTCTACTTGTCTCTTTGTCTAACGCTGCCTTATCTCTTGGTCCCTCACTAGCTTTCTCTAGCTCTATCGCTTCTCTCACTCTCTCTCCCTTCCCCCTCTCTTTCATTGTCCCTCTCTTTGTCCTTCACTTCCGGTTCCTCTCCCTTCCTCTCTCTCATCCTCTATGATTCCAACATTCTCCTCTCTCTTACTCTTCCCATCACTACTTCTATATCACTCTATCTCCATCTCTATTTCTCTACCTCC